CTAACCACTAGGCCAACACTCCCTTAGGTGTACACCGGATGAAATATAAAGCATGTTGATAGCTATCATTTTGTTTCTGTTCAGAATTTCTGTCATATAAATTAACTAAAAATAATGTTTTCCTTTCTTTTAAAACTAGATTTATTTGTGTGAAATTAAAGAAGTTCTACAGTTTGTGTCATATTCAGAAAACTATTATATTAGGGAGTTCTGTGAGGTCAGATTGTATTATTGACAAATTTGCCTACATTTCCTTTCACTTTCTGGGAGGCTATTTAGAAAATCGTAATGGTACAGTGTGCATTTAAAACCTTTAAAATAGACAGTAGCTCTGAGTTTATTCTAGCAGAGGAATTGTTTGAAGTTTGCATACATAAAAGCTTTCTGTGTTTCTCTGCGAAGATTTTCTTGCCCAGACAGGAGCCTGCTTGACACCAGCAATGCTCGAGGACTATTTTTGTTTCATAATGATACTGGACAGAGATATTGAGATGTCTTGGGGTGTGGCACTAAGAAATCTTATCTTCTGCAATGTGAATGCTGTCATTTCAGTGTGTGTGTATATAAGGTGGAATAGTTGTGGAGCAGCAGTGGCTGCTAGGACAAAAAAATTGTTTTGATCTGTTTGACTCTTTCTCTATTTCTTTTCTCCTCTAATATCCTGTCTATCTTTCTTGGCATTTTTGCAGTTTTTTAATAGAAAATCTGCTCCTATCTCTGTGGTTAGGCCTGTCTTTAATATTAAAAAAATAGCTACTTAGCCATGTCTCTGTCTTAGATAAAGTAAAGTAGCTGCCCCTACCATGTACTCTCCTTTTCCTTTGACATTGAAGTTACTCCTTTACTGCTGCTTCTGTGTTTGTCATCCTTTCAATCCCTCAGCCTGTCAAGTACATTTAGATTTAATTGGGTTGCTTAAGATTTAAAAAAAAAAAAAGTTTTTCAATCAAATGTCCAGTGTCACATAGCTGTTTGTGTTTCCTTAGTGCCTCAGTCCTTTTGGGCTGATTCTAAATCCTGTAGCTCCTACCTCCTGTTCCTAGCTCCTATCCCTTTACCATTTATTGGGATCTACAGAACACTATCCAGGTTAGGAGGAGCTCTGGACCGCTCTAATGAATTCAGACAACCTTCAGCCTTATAGACGTCATTACCTATGACGTATTGAGTATAACGCACTTGGATGATGCTGGTCAAATTGGGACTACAACTTCCCAGAAAAGAACTACAAAAGCTACCTAAATGCTGCAAACAGTTGCAGCTCTCCGTTATAAAACCCCAAACATTTAAAGGTGCATACACGTGTGTGTTTCACACAGAGGGCATGTAACAAAACAATGTATTTTTGTTCAGCTCTGTGGACTGTGAGCTACTAAAATAAGTTTTTGAACACCCTGCTATTTTGCACGTTATCCCACTAAGAAATAATGGAGTGGTCTGAAATTGGCATGTATGTGTCTTTCCACTGTGAGAGAAACAGTCTACCGGTAAGCAAATCCAGAAATCACAATGTATGATTTCATTAACTATTTATTTGTATGATACACCTGCATGAAGTGTGATCTGTATTTAACTAAACTAAGATGTGTAGTTCTGAACTGCCACCAACCAGCACTCCTATTCTAGGTTAACATCCTCTCACAATTTCTGTAATTGCTGCCCCTAACTTTCTTGTTAATGTTATTATTTCAGCATTTTTGAGTTTTTCTTGGTCAGGCTATATGGTATTGAGTTATTTTTTTCTTTATTTTTTTTATGCATTTAATAAATTTAAGAAAAAAGTGATCCGAGGGAGGAAAAAGTTTTTTTTTAAGCTTTATTTTACTTTCAAAATTATATTTCTTCCTCCTCAATTTCAATACTCTTAAATGAAGTCTTTTTTCTGACTGTATATAGAATTACCACTTTCTTTTAACTTTCATATTTTACACAACCTTCTTTTAGTCTCTATCAAACACAATATTTTCTTGAGGAAATTTTATTTTTGACAGGGTCCACCGATTTATCGGGAGTCCGATCGTTTGGCCTCGATTTTCTGAATTTTGGCCGACACTTATATGTGAAACCAATCTTTTCCACCTATCTGATCTATATCTGTAAAGGTCTAAAAAACAACCAATGCCTTAAACTATACTTATATACTTACTTATATTTACTATATTTGAGCAGCTATTTCCAAATCTTTTTATTGTTTAACAGGTAATGATTAATGTTTTTTTTTTCAGAAAGAAAAGATTGAAATTTGTTATTTCTTGCTATCTTTTTTTGACAGTGTCAGTTTTAAAAAGAAATCTGTACCGGTCAGAATCGGGAACACCATGACAGGATTTTTTAAAGATCAGGTGATCAGTAATCGGTGTATCCCTTATTTTTGATGTAGCACACCTGATTAGCCTACTAATAGCCCACAGTTTAAGTTTAAAACGTGTCTTTGATGTTGCCTGATCCATAAGATGTATGATTTTATCCAACTTGATAAGATCTGAAAAATGTACAGGTAGAAAAATGATCTTCCTGCAATGTAGCAAGGCTGATACATTTTGCTTCCTGGAGTCAGATTCCCCCTCTGAATTGTACACATACATTAACCATCTGAGGCTCACTCCTGTGGTCTAAGCTGGGCTAAATAAAGCAGGGCCTAAATGTGGGTAGGGGGGCAGGAGTTCAGGTCAAAGGCAATGTGAAACCATAAACCAGAATTGTAGCAGTGTTTACTTGAATATTTGTCGACAGGCTGGCTGCCTCTTTATGGAAATACGAGAATGGAGAACATTTTATAGGACTCAGTTTCTCCCAGGAGACCATGAGTTTGATGATTAGGCCTTTTTTTTGTTTACTCTGAGACAGATTAATATAATACACAGCAGGTTTGCTGTCCAACACTAAATATTACTGTGTCCTTAAACAATCAGATTGATTGGTCAGATTAGAGCTGTAATGTGAAACCAAGAGTCACAATCAGCCAAAAGTATATTTATTTCAAGCACATTTCATATAACAGCTGTTGACTGTAGTGTCTCATTAACCTTTGCAGCATGCTTTTTGTTAAGGAAATGACACCTTTGCTAGAAGCTGGGCTCTAGGTTCACTATTAACAATACTAAGCAATAAAAATGTGTTTTTATGCATAGTGTTTAAATGTATTTAACACATTTAAACACTATTTACAGCCCCTTCGGGTTATAGAAGTTGCACTGCTCCGTAAAGGATGAGCGATTTGAACTGTCAGTAGAGCAAATCGGCAAAGTTTTACTGCAGATATCACTATGAGTAGAAGCATGGTAGCCATAATAGTTTTTAAGATTTGGTGTTTTGGACAATGTGTGTGTAATTTTGCTACATGAAACTTGAAAATAATTCATTTGAGGGTTTAAATTAACAACAAACTTAAAAAATATATGAAATTCTTATGAGTAAAAGTTAGTTTTCTCTGGAATTTATTCAACTCAACTAATAAGCAAATTTTAGGTCCCAATGCATTGTTATTGTAATCGGCTGGCCATTATACTATGAAGAGCCAACAGTCCTAGAAATTCAAAAATAGATGATAAAAATACGGTATTAGAGTGGCGACCTGTTCCAAGCAGCCTGAGTGGATGGGTCCAGACATGCAACCATACATGGGTGAATGAATGGATGAATGGTGGTTAAAATCTGTATATTAATTTAAATAAACTTAAGAATAATTTCAATAAAATAAACAAACATGTTAAATAGTATTGTACAGTGTCTGAATAATTTAATGCATCCAGCATATTGTCACTAAATCTGTAAATCAGACATAAGTTTTTAGATCAATTATATATTATAACAATGCTTTTTATTCCTCATATTGCCAGAGCTTTGTGAATTTTTCTTAAACGATTAATAAACAATAAGATCTGATGAACTAACTAATCAATTTCACGATATGTTATATTATTGGGTTTTTTTTGCACATATATTCAAATTATTAAAATGACCAGATATGTAATTATTCAATTCCTGTACCACTGTTTATGTCATGATGGGTACTCTAATAGTGACCCAATAATGCAGAACACCACTGACGGACACAGGAATAAAAGTTCAACAAGTTTATTTGGTCACAAGCACACAGAATATACTGGTTCTGGTTCGGGCCTGGATACTGGTTCACCGGAGTCTGCGTGAGAGACAGTTCAGTTAGCGTTGCACGATGGAGGTCGCTTTCTTGATAGTTACTGATTGTACCTTGAGGGTTCTTGTGGTTAGCTTTGGGAGGGTCACTGTTGGATCTGGAGAGGAGTTGATCAGCAGAGTCCGTTTGCTGCTTCAGCGTCTCACTTCTAGTTTTGAGCAGACCTTGGCTTTGGGTTTTCCAGCTCTTAGTCCTGAGCTGCATGGAAGTTCACTGAGGTTCTTCAGGTTTGGCTCTGAGGGTCGGCTCGGCAGGTTAGCTCTTCCTGAGCTTCACAGAGGAGAAACTGGTTTCCTGGAAGACAGAGACAAACGGTTAGAATCCAGTCTGGATTCAAAGTCACCAAGATTCACTGAGAGTCTAGGCTTAGGCGCTGACCAACTGGATCAACACTGCGGTGTTGAGGCAAGGTCTGAAGACAGCTTATATAGTGGATCCTCTGATGATCTGATGGGCTGCAGCTGTGCAGAAGGCTCACTCAGGAGGATCCACGGCGGACTCTGCTGGAGAAAGGTGGAACTTCTCCAGCTCCCAACAGTTTATAGTGTTTAGATAATGCTTTTTACTGTTGTTTTTAAATCTGTAACTCCAAAAAAAAAACAATAATAATAATTCAAAATGTTGATAGCAGAACTTCTGTAAAATAGTTAATTTGAATATTAGTTTGGTAACTTTGTTATTAATAACTTCATTGTTGTAATGGATGCATTGCTGTGCCTGTGTGATGATCTCAGCGAAGAAACCAATTAAAGCAACACTCCTGTTTTGTTTTTCAGGTTATATTGAGAAAATCCTGCTGATTCTGTTTTTTTGTTTGTTTATTTTGTTTTGTTTTTTTCAGAACCTTGATTCTGTGGAAGGATCAATCCATAACCTCCTTTCTTCATTGTACCCCCCCTATGAAGCCACCGCCCCTACTCTCCTCAGTCAGCTCTTCCAGATCATTGACAGCCGCTATCAGAAAGATGCCCTGCGCTGTTTTCTGGACTTCCTGGTACCAGCCAAGCACATTTTAGATACTGTGCAGCAGGCTGCATGTGTAAGTTATTTATAGATTGTCTGACTGTCTAAACAGGATTTTTATCATTTAAATTGTCTACATTTCTGATATATCATCTATTCCTTTTTCAGGCTCAATACTCTAATGTGCTCTTCCTCTGTGAGGGATGGCCTCTTTGTTTACGTGACCAAGTTGTCATCCAGCTTGCTCCGATTGATCCCTCCGTTCTTCAGCCAGGCGACTTTTACCTTCAGGTGACTCCGTTCTGTGACCAATCAGCTCGTATTGTGGTCTGCAGTCTGCTGAAGGAGGAGGGACTTACTCTGGAGGTCGTGGAGGAGACCCCAGTTCCTGAGACGTCCTATCCTTGTATATTCAGCTCTGGCTGGTTGGATGAGTTTAACCAGGACTGCCAGGGGACGCCTCTTAGACATTGCCTGGTCGCCACAGAGCGAGGCGTTGTGAGGTTGCCATGGGAACGGGTGGCTGTGCCTGATTTTGTAGAGCTGGCACGTTGTGCTGGGAGTAGTATGGCCTCTGCTGCTCCATCACATTCACCTTTAAGTTCTCCACTTCCTCAACCTCCACCTCTTCCTACTAATTTCTTCCCTCTTTCCTCCTCAAAGAAACCTGGGCCAGGACATATTCCTTTGACTATTCAGGATTCCGTTTCAACTTCTGCCCCACATCCAGCCGCCCTCTCTGTGGAGACTAGGATATGTCCTGCAAAGCATGGCATCGCTGTGTCACTTTGTCTGGTGGATACTAGATCTACTTCTTCATCACAGCTGGTAAAAGTGAAAGAAACTGAAACAGAGCACAGGCCAATAGGCTGGGTGTCCCCGAATACATGGGACAGCCGCGTTACTGGAATAAATCAAAACCCAGCCGCTAAAGCAGAAAAATCAAACCATTCCGATGGTAATATAACTGACTTTAAAGGTGTGAATAAAGGTATTAAAGTTCCTGGAAATACACTGCAAGATAAGCAGAAAACCTCTAATGCTCACAGTATGAGCAGAAATGAGCCAGCACCTGTTGCAACAGGGGACTATATTGATATACTGCAGGCCAAAATGCTTTTTGATAAAGAGCCATCTCTGACTGAAGAACAGCAAAGCGCACAAATACAACCCAAAACACAGCCACCATTCAGCACACATTCAGAACATAACTCACAGACAATTTTACAAGATATGTCTAGAGATGGACCTCTATTTGTTCAGCATCATTCCCCTAAACAACCAACTTTTTCCAACTCCTCAGACTCCCCTCAGTGTGTCCGCACTGTGCGCTTTGCAGAGAAGCCCTGCACCCCATGCATGGCAAGACGGCAGGGTGGGAAAGTCGGCAAGGCTCAAGAGCTGAGATGTCGATACAGAGACTCATACCAGGCTGCCCTACAGAACCCTGTCACGTTTGGAGCTGAGAATAACAGAGGGAATATGTCAGTGCTGCTGGAGGAGGGCACTGATAGCTCACAGCGTGGTGACAAACTGGGACCGCTAAAGGTAGAGGATCCATGGAGGGAGCCTCAAGATGCAAGGTGTGATCCTGGAACATATACTCAGTCTCCTCCACAAGTAGGTGAAAACATCTGTGAGGAGTCAGGAGAAATGAACTGTCCTCCATGCAGAAAACCAACAGAAATACATATCCCCCCCAATGCTGCTGGCAGGATACAGTCTGATAAATCTCATGGATGTTTACACAATGTGAGCACAGCAAATCCTGTATCAGGAGTAAGAACACACACTAGGAATATCCCCTCAAACGTTAATGGTCCTGGGTACTCAGGTGACTCCAATAAACAGAATAGATCAACATTATGTTCCACTGAGAAACCTTCCAATCATCATGAAGGTCTCCAAAGCAGAACCGGTTGGACGGCTAGGTCTGCAAACATTAAGCCTGCTGCAACACCCCAACACAGACGAGACACCCACTCAGACAGAAGATGTTCGTCTCTCTCCACAGCGGTGGTGGACACCTCAGAAAAGTGTGAACTGATCATTGTTGAAGGGAAAAATGTCAGGAGAAAAGAAAACTCTGATTCTCAAGCAGAGATTCCACAACTGCATGTAGTCAAGTGTAAAAACAGCACCGCCTTCAGACTGGTTTCACCCAAAATCAGCAGAAAGAAAAACTACACTCCAGGTATAGAGCTCGCCGCTTCCTGTTTATCATCACATATATTTGCATTTCATTTAAGCATACATTAAAAATAAAACTTTCTGCAGTTGTGGAGCAGCTTGGCACCAAAAGGATCGACGATCTTGAAACAAAGAACCTGCCCCAGAGGAATCCGTCATCCTTGGCAGAAACAAACCAGACTTCTCAGCAAGTGTCTGTTCTTACCAGACCAGACCACCTCCCTCTGGGCTCACCGGACCCCAGAGCCCATCCTGTTTATTTAGGGCTAGCCTTTCTCACAGGTATTTATTCAAACATAAAATATCGCTTCTAAGTGAATATGGTTCTTCAGCACCACTCCAGAGGTGATAAACCAGCTATCTTGTAAAGTGAAAACCAGATTTGTTCCATGTAGTTTAGAGGATAAGAAGCCGAAAACAAAAGTTTAATAAAACCTCTAGAGGTCTGTCAGCTGGTTTCCATGGATCCTGACCAGACAATTTCACTCATCTTCTATATTCTATCTCCACCCGAGGCTGCAGAGACAGGGCAGGCAGAGCAATTATTGAACTCTATGGTCACCATCCCGGGTGGGAGTCAACAGTAACGAGCCACGAGATCTTCCAGATGCTGCTCTACTTCTATTCCATCACCAGGTGGGGAAACTCAAATATATCCAAGCTTTGAACTGCTTTGTCACTTCTGTTGTTGTAAAATATTTAGTTTTTTTTTTTTTTTTTTTTTTTTTTAAGAGGCATAAGCTATCTATTCTGTGTTTAATTATTATTTGGGACAAATTAAATGTATAGTGGAGGGTGTTCTTTTTCTGGATGGATCATCAAAATAAGTGGTCCTACTAATTGTCAATCATTCTGGTGATATGTTTATATATATGCTCGTCCACATTTTTACTTACCAGTGGTGAGTCTGACATAGTGAAAAATTGCAAATCTTCTTTTGAAAAGTAAGCCTGTATGAGCGATGGAAACAGCAACTTTTAAACAAAGCGTGCACAAGGAGAAATGGGCTCGTGCATGCTCTCACACACGTTTAATAGACGTTCCCTCTTGGGAGCGGATACAGGTTTGTGAAGGTGCATTTTCTTTTTTAAGTGGAGAGGGTGGGTCTTTTCAAAAATTCACAAAAATCCTCTACTATACCTTTAAAGGCACTTGAGAAAAAATCATAGTTTTGTGTTTTTTTTGGATAAGGACCAAAGAGAACGAGCAATTCATATACGAAAAAAAAAAACACACGTATTATGTTCTTGAAGAAAAACCTTGTTGCCTACTTGAATTTAACCTTCTATAATTATCAGTCATTATTATTCGATTTAGCTGATTGCAAGGTTTTAAACCCTCTGACTTGGCCTTATCTCCGAAGCTTGTAGTAGATTTTGTAATACTACAATAAAATACAGGTTAAGATATACATAAAGGTAATCAGTCTATAAGAAAGAAGGGTTTGTTTGCTGTAGTGCCAGTATTTTTTTTCCATTATTAAAAAAGGGTAAAATAAATAATCTGCACACCTTTTCTAATCAAATGTAAATAATAAAAAAACAGACAATTGATCTCCAAACTGATACTGTCAGGATTTGGTGTTGGTTTGAGGACCCAAATGCAGAGGCAAGTAGGCAGAGGTGGATTTAGGTGGGTTTAATGAGGTTCAAAGGAACTGAGGCAGGAATCAAAAAATCCAACACAAATAACAAACGAACCAGAACCAAGGAGACATCAGGGGAAAACCAAAAGCCAGGGAGAGACGAGGTAAGCAGACAGACGTTAGACGAGGATCCAGCAAACAGGAACTGAAGAGGGGGGGCTTTTAAAGGGGACAAAGACAAAGAGAGGGCTAACGAGAGGATTGAAAACAGGTGAGGACAGAGCAGAAAACAGAGCTAGGGAAAGAGGACACAAGAGGGCAGCAGAGGACAACAAATGGAAAACCTGGAAGACAGGAACTAACAAGAAAACAACAAAATAATAATTAAACACTAAAACAAGAAGCAAAGTAAAGCTGAATACTCTAAATAAACATAACAAAGCCAAGGCTGTGACAGATACTACTTTTATTTTTATTTTTTTATCTTTGAGAGAAAAAAAACTTGGTTACATCAAAACAAATTACAATCAAATTTATCGAGAATCTAATTTATTTTTGGGCTTCTCCATAGATTTTAAGAGGACTTCTTGTAGAGTATCGGTTTCGTTCCAAAAGCACCACTGTTTGTTTCTGTCTGCAGGGAGGAGGTCAGAGAAGCCGGGATGAGATTGATATTTGATGCAAGAAGGAAGAATCCTCAACCTCAGTTCTACAAGGCTTTGATGGCTCTTCATGTAAGAAGCATATTTCAGTAGGATTTTGCAGACTTGTCTTAACAGCCAACTGTATGTTTACTTTGTAAAATAGGGCTTTTATTTGCAGATAAAACCTGATAACATTAGACACATTAGACATGGCTGGTGTGGCAGTCTTGCAGTACGATAACCAAGAGTAAAAAGACCAGTTTCTTGGTTTATAGCAGAAACATAAAATATGTAGGGCTGCAACTAACGATTATTTTAAAAATCGATGAATCGGCCGATTATTTTGTCGATTAATTGATGAATCGGACAAAAAATTTTTTTTATATTAACCTCTTTATTCCAAAATAAACATTTTAGAAAGAACAAACAAGCACACAAGTACAGGTTGCTCATTAACTGTACTGGTGCAATATGAAAAATAAATGTTTGTGTTAAAACTACGCAAACTTACATGAGAAATGTAGCCGTACATCCACAAAATATAGAGTACTTTTTTTCATAAAGCGCAAATAAGACATTTTTGTTTTTAAAAGCCCCTAAGGGATTCAAACAATAGGCCCCCCCATTTCAACAAATGAGTTTTTTTAGACTAGAAGAGTTCTGCCTTTTAAGACAGGAAAGTTTAGCAGTTAAAGTTGCTACCTGAGAAAATACTTAACCATAGAGATAAAAATAGCCCTGTGATTCAAATTATAAATTGTATTTGGAATAAAAATGAGAGAACTAGGGGTGCTAAAAAAACACATCCTCCAAAGACAGATATTTACATGGGAATGTGGCATATAATTAATTGACATATTACTGATCTTGCTGGATTTTATTCTGCTTTACTTCCATAAATTGCAGGATCCCCTTTTCTTTATCTTTGCCAGAAGATTTAAACTTTAAAAGCCTTGCCCTCATAATTTGCAAGTTCATTTATTTATAAGGAAAATATAAACGCTGCTTAAGCTAATTCAAATGAAATTAAAAGTAAAATAAGTAGCCAACCTTATCACTGTCTGTAACCTACTAACACGGTAAGGAAAGCATCAGATGAGCTACCTGAGAAACTAACGTTACATTTCCCGACTTTAAAACCAAACAAACATGGTTACTCATCCTGCTGATCAGCTCTCTTCACTGCCATCGAAGGCTCCAACGTGTTTTCTTTTCAGGTGCTGCGTCATAACAGCTGTGCTTCCGTGCCATGTTCATTTGTTTTTACAAAAGTTGCATGTTACGACTTTTTTCACTTTACAAAGCGCAGTAATTATTGTGATCAATTTGCGCCGTCAATCCCGGCGCATGCGCGCTTCATTTGCAGTCTGGACGCTGAGGATAAAATCCTCACTAAAATCCTGCGGCTCTGACTGCAGCGCTGAGAGGGACTCCTGCGGGAGAGGGAGAAAGGGGTTGGGATGGGGGAGGCGCCCCACGGCAGGCAAAAGCCGCCAGTGACACCGTAAAAAGTCGCCAGATTTGTCGCTAGTCGCTTTTTTGAAAAATAGTCGCTGGAGGGGTCTGAAAAGTCGCTGAGTTGGCAACACTGCAACTGCGGCGCTGACTCACTCCGCCATATTTTTTTTTCTTCCCCCGGATGACGGCGGCGGCGGATGACGCATTAATCGCGCGACACAACTAATCGATGATTAAATTCGTTGCCAACGCTTTTAAAAGTCGATTTTTATCGATTTTATCGATTCGTTGTTGCAGCCCTAAAAATATGATTTAATTATCTAAAATAGAAAAGCTAATATTCAGAATAAGGATCTTTAAAATTCTGCCTTGATCAATTATTTGCTTTTCTTCTGTTCATGAAAAAAATGCATAACAAACAACTTTTTTGTTTTTTCACTTGTTTGTTTTGTTTTATGAATAGCTGTTTGCTTTTCTATGCTTTAGAACTGAGGTCTTTAAATGTTTCCAGTTTGGCACCTCTTTATTAATGCAGAGGCTGTGCAAGAACCACCTCCATGTCAAGCAATAGCGCAAAGAAAACAGTGGAATCGGAAACATAAGGAAAAAAACCCTTGACATCAGTATACAGGTTAGGGTTTGGGCATAAACAATGGAACACAGATCCTAATTATATCCCCAAATACTGTAGGTCAAAAAGTGGGTTAAGGTCATGCTTGACATTTTCTTTTGATCATAATGGATTTCGATACCATAGAAAATTTGTGGGTAGTGCGGGAAAATCAGTATCTGGAAAATCAGTCATCTGGACAGGAAAAGGTAAACGCTAATAGTTCTTTGGGATGCTGACAGTGGAGCATCCTGGAACAACAAAGAGGTGAAGCTGCTTCCCATGCTTCAATACAAATCCTCTAAAAGCACTGCCATGAATATAAAGTGCAGTCAAAATATCTAAATGAAGTGGCAATCTGCATAATGTAGCTGCCTTATTTTAGGAAAACTTGCTGAAATATCCTATCATGTATATCTTTACCACTGAAACAAAGGGAGACATAATGCAGACTGAATCCGCCATCTTTACTCAGAGTTTGGACCGGATTATAATGAACCACAAGCCAAATGCAAGGGATGTAAAATCTTTAGCAGATATTAAATGCATATAAAAATGCTGGTTAAAGTGAGACATTCATGCTTTTGAAAAAGTGAAACATAAAGATGATGTCTTTAGCTAACAATAAAGGAAAAATAAATTTACTAAACATACATTTATTCACATGAATAACAGATGAAAAGGAATAATATTCTAGTCCTTTTCTATCGCCATTTATCCTGTTTTAAATGTAACCAAAAATTACAAAGTCAGTTTGCAAGCCTGGGTATGGAGGAGGCAGAGGCATGGTCTGGGCTCATTCACACAGCCCTACCCACCTCTACCTCTCTACCTCTCCCTGGAGGACACCCTCCTCCAAACTCTGCTCTAGAGAGTAACAACTACAGCATTTAGTCATTTACCTGCTTTAGAGACATGAGGCTAACCGTTAATCCTTCTCAGCAAAGCTTGTAAGGAAAAGGTAGGGGAGTGGGAGTGTGGTGCTCTTCTACACTTCATACTGTGTGCTGCCATCACCTACTCTACCCATTTCTCTGGCCTTATGACAGAAGGCCTACAAACCATAGTAGCAGCGGGATGCAAATTTTTGTTTTAACATTTTTTTTTAAACCTATAAACTAGAATGATGTCAGAGAATCGTCTACAGTTATTTGTGTACTCTGAAGCACAGAAATGGACCAAACATAACACATTTTACTGTAATGAAAGATGGTCTTTTGTCTTTTATTTTAGTCTGTTAAAAAGCTGTAACTTGTTTTAACTGGATGCAGGAGTGGTCACCCCGTGCCGTGAATTCTTTGGTTCTGCTGGTGGACAAAGAGAGCAACTTTCAGCCAGAGAGATGTCCTGGAATCCAGGTTAATGGCTTTCACTCATAAAAATAAATAGCATGTTTTTCATGTTGAATGTGAGCATTCGGATTAGTTTTTATGAGCCTCGTTGGTCTTAACGGTAACACACACAAGAAAGAAGAGATAAAGTGATTTAACTGGAAATTTAAAAAGCCCTTATTTTAAGATATTCCCTTAAATTAAACATAATATTGTATAATATTGGTGCAGACGGATTCAGTAACATCAATGAAAGGATTGGTCAAGCTGGCGGAGACCAATCAGCTGAGCTCTGCTCTGGATGGCACAGCTCATGGCTACTGTGACTGGTTTGAGCTGCACCAGGTGAGAATCTTTCATCCTTTTGTTTTTTTTTTTAGCTTCTGTTTAGTTTTGCTTAACTCAGGCTTCCTATTTAGCCTTAGTTTGGAAAAGTAGAGCATTTTATTGTGAAAAATGTGACCAGAAAAATGTTTTATTCTCCTAACTTATTTTTTTCATATATTTTGTAAAAGAAACAGGCATCTAACATTTGCCAATAAAGGCAGTAGTTTTCTATTCATTTATATTATTTTGATATCCTTTATCTTTGATTTCCTAAACCTAACCTGACTTTGATTTGAAAATTTTACTCATCTGGACTTTGGTTTGTGATGTTCTATTTCTATTTATTAAGAACTACGAATAAACATAAATTACTAATAGTGCGTTTTAAATTTTTGAATAGGAGCTGATTGAAGTTACTCCATTTGCCAGTAAAACAGTTAATTATTTCTATGTTGCTCTCCAAAAACAACTTCAGTATGTTGTTTCATTAATTTAAGCAGTTTCAAAAAAGATAACGGAATCTTAAATATTCAAAATGCTTTCGAAATAAATGGAACAAAATCCTGGAACCTCATTCATGCATGTACAAATCTTTGATTTTCAGAGACTTTTCCCGTTTGTTAACAATCTCCATGAAGCTGCTAGCTTACTACTGAGAGCCATCAGAAAGTTAGAAGAGCTGCAGATGACAGAGACTGTGCAGGTGGTTTTATTCAATCTTTCTTTGCAAACATTTTTGCAGTTGATGTAATTCAGTCATGAGGGATAAGTCAGTGTTAGAAACCCATTTTATACCTTCTGTCAAAAAGGCTGTGCAGCAATGCATGATGGACCAGAGGACTCTGATGAGGGACGTCTTGGAGGACAGTCGGTTGGTCAGCCTGCAGAGGGAGGGCGGGGCCATCCTGGCTAGGCTGCGGAAGGAGAGTGACTTGAAGTACCCTCACTGTGAGGACCTCAGGTACCCAACAGACATCATCTTCTCGCTTTCACCTTGTACAGAAATATCTAGATTCCAGTTCAAGGTATCACCTTCTTCAACAGGTTTTTCAGTCACCACTGGCCTTTCTTCATTTTTATTTTAAAGTTGAACAAAGCTGAGTGTTAGAAGTGGATCTTAAAGTTTCCTGAAAGGTTCTCTCTAGAGCTGGTGTTAATTAATCTTTGTGTCCTTCATACAGTGATGCAGTTGACTCAGTAACCAGTCTGTACAACTATGTGGAGGAGCAGGCTCACATCCTTGTGCAGAGGACGAATGCATCATTGGAACACCTGGAATACCTGCTGCAGCTCAGGGAAATGGAGGGACACTTCAAGCAGGTATTTCATGCGTTTCTTATGATATAATAGAAGTGTAAGCTCAGTTAAAATTTGGGGTTGGCTATAACCAATGGTGGCACAGTGGATAGCACTGCTGCCTTGCCCCTGGTCCGGGGTCTTTCTGCAAGGAGTTTGCATGTTCTCCATGAGAATGCATGGGTTTTTTCAAGGTACTCCGGCTTCCTCCCAAAGTCCAGAAACATGACTATTAGGTTAATTGGCTTTTCTAAATCCTCTTAAGGTGTGAGTGTGCAATGTTGCTTGTTTCTGTGTTGCCCTGCAATGGACTGGTGGCCTGTCCAGGGTGTACGTTGCCTCTCACCCATAGACAGATTGAGATAGGCACCAGCACCCCTTGCAACCCCAGCTGGTATAAAGCGTGACAGAAAATGGATGGATGGATTGAAATAACCAATATACTATAGGCCCAAATATTTGCATACCTTCGCTATAACAGGTCAAAAATACACATCTTCACCACATCTTTTGTTCACCTATAGACACACTTTTGGCATATATCTGGCATGATATTCACTTAGGTGAGTTTCCTGCAGTTAGCACAGATTTTAAACATAGCCTTCAAAAAATAAGTTATTTTTTACCGTTTTACAGGACGCACTTAAACTTTGTTTTAGCAGCATTAGTGTAAGTTAGATTAAATAATGAAAAAATAGTAAAAACTGAATCCCTAAATCAGATTTAAAGAAAATGGATTAAAACATTGACTTATTAAGCAACAATGACAACAATGGATGAGTGAAGAAAAGGGTTTTTTAACCTGATAACATCAGTGAAACATATTGATGGAGCCTGCCTGCTCTTGGGGTTTTCCTTTCTGCTGTCAAATTTTCTGGATAATGGTGTAAATAAAGAAAGAATACTGCTTCTAGTCTTGCACCGATACGAGTATCAGTCGGGGCCCCGATCCAGCACTAAAATAGTGGTATCTGCATTGGCGAATACCAACAAATAGGGCACCGGTACCATTTTGAGAGCCAAAACTTTATTCAACTATTGTCACCCCTTCCAAGTAGGCAATAAAGAGTTCTACTGGATTCACTTTGTGTTAATCTTTTTCCTGCTTCACAAAGGTAGGCAGCAGCTGGAAAAAGCCACGATGGCAATTATTTTAAATCCAAGTAGCATGCAGTTCTTCATATATAGACACACAAACATCAATTTCAAACAGATGGTATCGGTATGGTATCTGTAATTTATTAGTTAATTTAACATATTATAAAAGTGAAGACATGTTTGGATATGTTTAGATTTTCCAGAAACATAATAATCCCAAAGACCATCTTAGTTTTTAGAAGCCCGGACACGTCTGGAAGCCAGCTCTCTAACTCAGCTCTACTAACTCTGATTGAAAATCTATAGGGTGTTGATTGCTAAAATACATGCAGTTAATTTGGACCAAATATTAGCTTGGTGTGTTTTCACATGTTTATTAATTTATTGTATTTTATTACTCTGTGTATTATCACAAAATAAATGACTTACTGACCTTAAAATATTTTCTTTTGAACAACCTGCTCTGCAGATTCAGCAGTGGTTTAGTGTGGAGGGAGAGCGCCACCTGCTGGAGGCCAAATCCGTTGAGGAATCTGGAGACAGAATGGAGCAGATCCTCAACAGCTTCACTGGTTTCCTGATTGAAGCTAATGTGAGCTTAAATTTGCTGCCCTTGTGATTCCTGATTGCCAGCCTCACTGAATCACTCCCTCCTTCCTCCTCCAGGACCGCAGACACCACGCCATGTCCTTAGTGTCAGAGGCAGACAAACTCCAGCAGAGGGGACTCTCCTACCCAGAGACAGAGGCCTTCAGGATTCTAATCAGCACCTTTAAATCAGACTTGGAGGATTTCTTGTGCAGGGCGGAAGCATGTGGCAGAGAGCTCCAGACTATGGTCAACCTGTGTGATTTTTGTGAGCAGGTGAGATTTAGAAGAGTAGCATTTGATTTAGGGTAAGGCATGTATATTCTGCAAAACTGAAAAATCACTTTGAGTGATTTTTTATTTTTCAAACAGGCTGTGGAGCTAGCTGATGAATGCACTGGTTATCTGAACCTTACTAAAGTCAGAAATCAGACAATACAAGCACCAGAAAGTACCCCATCGATCAGTCAAATAAATACCCAACTGCTACAGAACCACAGCAAAGACCCCTGCCTGAACTCCACACCTCTCAGCCCATCAGATCTCCAGGCTTCTCCTGACAGACTTATTCTACAGTCTTTTAAAGAAAGGTTCCTACACTTCAGCCCAGAGAAATTCCAAGAAGTGAAGGTCCAGGCCAGCTCCTTGCAGGGCTCCCGAGGGATGCATGTTTGGAATGCTGCCTGGCTGAGATGTTATGAGGCTCAGCAGCAGCTTCAGGAGAGGATGCTGGAGCAGGAGGACGTTTGCCACCATTGTGCAGATCCCAACAGCAGCTGTGAGGGTCATTTTGTAGATGTAGTGAGCACCAATGTTCAGACAGCATCTCCTGGGGGACAGAGGTTGGTGGTGCAGTCTACCACTGTACCTCAGCATCCTCACAGAGAGGGGATGTCATCAGGTTCAGTGGATTTGGGTAAAATCATCAAACCACAAGATAACATTGATGCAGCAGGAACAAACTTAGAGTCAAAGACCTCCCAGCAGTCACCTCACAGGTAATGAAGTTTCTGTTGATTCAGGGACTTTTCATAATTGTCAAAAAAAAAAAAAAAAAATTTTTATTACTGCTTTTGGGGTTTAAACAAGTATCCATAGCCTGAAAGGTGTTTCTCATGTTGTCACAGTATAACCCAAGTCATCAATCTATTTCACTCAGATTATTTTTTAACACAAAGTAGATCTAAGCCCATCATAGTTTCTGCTTTTAACCAGTATAATTAAGCGTTCTCCCCGCTCAGTACCACTGAATGAAATGAAGTGAAAGCATTTACCATTAGATGGCAGCTGTGTGTAATTTAGTAAACAAACTGCATTATTAACCCCAATGAACACAGTAGAAGTGTGGGGGATATCCTCTGCTTTGTCCCATACAATCAATCTTCAAAAAAATTTAGTTTCTCACATTTCAAAGTTGATAGAAACATAAGGACATGCAGGGCCTTAATACAAATAAACTGAACATTTTATTTGTATTTTATTATTAATAATTTATGAATGTGTTCTTTCTCCTTTTCGTCCTCACAAATAATCACTATTATATGTTCTTCAATTACAAAAGTATACATTGAAAAAAGCAATATTCTAAGATTTACATCGTCAGGGTGTTGGAAATAAGGTGGTAATCACACTTTTTTTTATTTAATCAAACAAAAACCTTTTTTTCTTTAAAACGTTTTGCGGGTTCCGAGTTGGTAGTTAAATTGTTGAGGTTGACAAGAAACTTTTCAATTGGTTTAGAAAGAGTAAAAAGTCAAATTCTCCACTTTATTGGTCTGTTTCATATTCAAACAGGTCAGTCAGGAAAACAGTAAAGGAGGCAAGGAAGAGACAGACAAGCAGAGCCAGAAGTGAAAGGGATGCTGCTGCTTTATCCCAGTCACATCCTGTCGGCTGCCAGTGGTTTCCATGGAGACGGGGACTTGGAGGGAGGTCAGTGAGCCAGGACTCACACTCCACCCGAGCCTCAACAGCTGACTTCACCCCGGGGGAAAAGGGGGCTGGACCACCGTCAGGTTGCTCCCACCACGGTCAGCCGTCCTGCCGAATCTTGCAGGAGGCCCAGAAGTTCCAGATCTCCCGCCACGGGAGCTTCTGCTCAGAAAACTCTTGTGTGAGCGACCGTGGGGCTGCAGGGGATAACGGAGCAGACGGCTGTAAACACTCCAGCCTCCCCCCTGAGGGATATGGGAGGGCCATTTCTTTACCAGGTCCACAGGAGAACGCCAGCAGCTCTCTGTAAGTTGTCTGCATGAAATTGATAGATAACTTCTCTTGCTGAAATACTTGATGCTTTACCTGTTTATTCTAAACTATAATACTGTCTGAGATCTAATAAACTTCTTTCTGCCCCTAAGCTGACAGTGAAGGGCTTCAGGTATTGTGCCCTAGTGTTTCCTTTTTTTTTTTTTCATTTATCATATATGTATTCCATAATTATCAAGCGCAAACCCACAATTGATGCTGATAACGGTACCTAGATGTCACCATCCGGTTAACTGTTATCATTCAAGACATTATCAGCCTTTAGAGTGATTTCATAACTTATTTTGCAATTTAAATTCATACAGCAGCGTGACGCCCTCCGTTTTTTGCAACTATTTACACCATGGTCAGGTCGCCAGTCCATCATAGAGCAAACAAGAGACAAACAGGAAAAACAACCATTCATGCACGCTTAAGGAGTATTTAGAGAAGCCAATTAACAGCTAACAGTTGTTTTCAGACTGTGGGAGGAAGCCAGAGTACCTGGAGAGAACCCACGCATGCTCAGGGAGAACATGCAAACTCCATGCAGACTGGAAATTGAACCTTGAACCTTCTTGCTGTAAGGCAGCAGTGCTAACCATTGCTCCACTGAGCAGCCCAAGATCAAAGAATCAAGAGGAATTCAAGCCTAATAACTTTGTTTAATGGAAAAATCTGAGGTTTCTGTTGCATTGATCTAGCTGCACATACCTTCAACTCCTCATTAGCCCCCGCCCCCTTTGTTTGCATTGGTCTGACCCAGCAGTGCTTATATTCCTCAGGGCTGCTCACCCAGCATGAAATCAAATAGTTATGCATTTTGGGTTAAACATAGGTAGCATCCAAATGTTTAAAATCTACAGTTTTCATTCTATGTTCTTAGGAGTGACTATTTAACTATAAATTCCAAGAACATAGTTTATTTAATCTGAAAAACTAGTAGATAACTGGAAGATGGGCTAAATAATCCTTCTTTGACATCATGATCTGCTTTTGTTCTTTGCAGCAGAGCAGGTTGTTTTTTCCTCTTTGTCTCCTCTGCTCCAGCATTATCACTAGCTTTCAACAGGAGGTGTTTTTTTTTCTTTTAATCTATGTAACAGCTCTGATCATTTACATCAAAATGCGTTCACTAAGGTGTTTTGTTTCTTTAAATCCAGGCATAATATGTCAATTTTTGAGCAAACTGCATTGCTAACAGATACAGATCTGCAACTGTGTTTTGAAGTAGCTTTTTTAATGTGTAGATATTATATAATACAACCTGACTGTTTCACAATGCCAATTTTACAGGATATTGAAAAGGAGCTCATCTTAGGAATCAACTTGTCTGATTTAATTTATAGCAAATTTCCTCAAATGGAAATATGAATGTACTTTATTTATTTATTTATGGAGCAAATATTTCAGCTATTGGCTGAAAATGTGCGTCTCCACTAGCTCTGGTTGCATCTTATATAGATTTTTATATTTATCTGCTGCTCATTACATTCTGTTGCATGTATCTATATCGTATTCTGTTCTCACACATTTTTGTGTTGTTGTTTTTTTGTTTTTTTTTTTGAAGATTTCAGCTAACCCATGAATAGGGAAAATAGGGAAAACATAATTTATTTTTTGTTTCCTTTTGCATGCTGTATCCCTCCCCTTCATGCCTGGTCAAAGCTAACGGGTTTTATTTCTCTTTGTGTCACCAGGAGGCTGCAGCATGTGATGGAGGAGCTCGTGTTTACAGAGAGGGAGTATGTTCGCTCCCTGGGTTACATTCTCACTCACTACCTCCCCCTAATGGACAGGTTGGACATTCCTCAGGATCTCCGAGGCAAACGAGGAGTTATCTTTGGCAACCTGGAGAAGATTTATGACTTCCACAGCCACTATTTCCTCCCAGAGCTGGAGGCCTGCGAGAGGCAGCCTGCCATGGTAGCCCGCTGCTTTCTCAGACATGTGAGAAATAACGGCACAATTTTGGATCCTGTACTGTAATTTTAATTTAACATTTATTGAAACATTAATCGTAACATTGACTCCCTGCAGAGTGAGAGTTTTGGGCTGTATGCATTGTACAGCAAGAACAAACCTCTGTCAGATGCTCTTATTCTTTATCGTCGCCATGACATCTTCAAGGTCAGTTCATGTCTCCCTTTTCTTTTAGTAGGGATCTGTAAACGTGATTTCATAGAGCAGTTCAGGTCTTGGATTGACAGTTTTTACAAGATATCTGGAGCAAGACGGTTTGAGATATTTCTGTTGTACAAAATTTGAGGTCCAACCCCAACCATTTTAATTTTGTTAAGATTTTTTTTTAAACTTCTTTTCTTTATCTGATTTGGAATAAGAGAAAAACAGCTAATTACTTTATTTTTAAAATCAGATTTCTCTGAACCCGGCTTAATACATTGAGTAACTCTTGTGAACTTCTAGCTCAGAAAAGACTGAAAAAATATGGACCAAGAGAAGAGAAAACATTCCATTTGTATGGTGCCATTTTTTGGCCCCAATACCTGGCTCTGCAGTATTGGCCGATACCATCTGTTTGAAATTGATGTATGTATATATGAAGAACTGCATATTACTGAGATGTAAAGTAATTGCCATCATGGCTTTGTCAAGCTGCTGCCTACCTTTGTGAAGCAGGAAAAAGACTAATACAAAGTGAATCCAGTAGTTATTTTTATTGCCTACCTGGAATGCGTGACAATAGTTAAATAAACCTTTTGTCAAGGTTAGATTTTGGTTTTGAGGACCCAGATACAGAGGCAGGGAGAAAGAGGTGAGTTATTGGAGTTTTAATTAATGATAACTGTTAACAGAGGCAGGAATCCAAAATCCAACTTAAAATGTTACACAAACCAGATAAGGACAAGACAAGGAACCAGCACTGAGGAACTATACAGGGAGAGTATTTGGCTCTGTTCGAAAACTTAGGACGTGTCCTCCAAGGACGCGGTCTACCTAGACTGGATCCTTCGAAGTCCTTGAAAATAAGGAGACCGGAAGAGTTTTGGCTGTAAATTCGACCAGGTCTACCCTTCGGCGGGTTTTACCGCCGTATGCTCTGTTGCTTAGCAACCGTGAACGTTGACACACAAAACAGGAAAAGAATGAATACAGAAGTTTTCAAAACTGTTTATTTATTTCTTTTTTATTGTGAAGTGAACAAAGACTACACTCACAAGAATCCAGAGTGGAATAAAGATTCCAACCACCAGGAGCAGGAACAAATCAAATCAAATGTAATGATAGAAACCTTAGTCAGTTAAATAAAATGCTGCTGTCATTTTGCACATCTCTGATGCTGCTGCTATTTTCTAATATCCATTACTGTAAAAATGTCCATAGCTGCATATTAGTTATTTATTCCCCAGTTTTATATTGTTAAAACACTTTACAGTATTTTATTGTTTATATTTAACTCTTCCCTATTATGTTATTCTTATACATTTTTCTAAGGTCCACATTTGTGTGACCATTTTCAATAATCTTTCTGCTGCTGTAAATTTTTCCATTGTGGGAAAATAAAGGGATTTTCTATTCTATTCTATAAAAGGGGTAGAAAGATATAAGTAAATCTAAACAATATATTTATAAAAAATATATCTGCAAAATCTCTAATATTCAACAACAAAAAATAAGAAGTTAAGCATATTGTGCAAAACAGCAATAAAAAGATAAAAATCCTATCAGATTTATAGTCCCCACCCTGCAAATATATTAGAATCTGTCCTTAAATTACAGCCAAACCCATTTACACAGTAACAGATAAAAACCTTTAGATAAATCAAACACTACCGCCACATATCTGACTCAGTAACCATTAAAACAACTATTTTCATTAATCTCAGACGGAACTATTAAATGACTTGTATTATATTAAACTGAACTTCCAATTTTCACCACTGTTCGGCGCCAAGTAACCTTTACCCTGATCACGGCTTGCTTGGTCTCGCAATGAATCCTGGGATATCCAAGAATACCGAGGATACATCGGACCCGTCCTTCAAATCGGGCAAAAAGAAGGACGCATTTTAAGGCCGCATAACGAAGACTCTTGGAATCCGACCAGACCTCGGCGCCGCGCTATGACGTAATCGGTCTTCAAATCCGGTCTTCTAAGGATGCGTCCTAGGTTTTCGAACAGAGCCTTTATGTCTGACTGAAAAAGGCAGGACTAATGAGCTGATTGGGAGCAGGTGAGAACAGAGGCTTCTAGAAAGGAGCTAGGGAAAAGGAAACCAACAAAAGAGGGCAACAGAGAAAAACCTAAGAACTCAAATATACAGAAAACACAACACAATATGAATTAAACCAATAAAACTAGAATACATGGAGCAAAGTAAAACTGAATACTCAAAAGAAAACTTAACAGAACCAAGACTGTGACACTTTTGGCTCTCAAAATGGTATCAGTGCCCTAATTGCTGTTACTCGCCGATACGATACCACCATTTTAGTGCGGTATCAGTATTGGTGCAACACTAGTAAAAATGTATGCGGGTCTTTAAAAAAAAACAAATGCCTGAGACCCTATTTTAGGTATTGTAACTACAATGATTTAATTTGCCTTTTCTAACAAATAAAAAACATATTTCTTCCATCAATTCAAATGTGTCCTTATTTATTTTTGTGGTTTTAGAAAAGTTACAAATTTTGGTTGCAGAAAAAAACATGGACAAGTCTCTTTGAATGTTGTTTACATCCAATGAAAAGCTGTAATAAATAAACTCATCATTCATCTTTTTGTTTTTAAGCTGATAAAGTATATATATATATATTTTTTTTTGCAATTCAACAAGTTTCAACTTCTCAATTTAATTTGTTTCACACACGTAATGAGGACATTTAAAATTTAAAAAGACCCCTTAATGTTTTATTTACTAGCTATATTTAGATACCTGCTAATAAGAAATAAATAAAGCTTTGCTGTACATAGGAACAGCTGCAATGGGAACAGTTCTCTAATTAAGAGCACAAACCTGAAAAAGCTTTCCAGGGACAAAGGTCTAAAGTAATACAGTTAAGGGGGTTGATCTTATTTATTTATTAATTTTTTTATGATTGACTGTTTCCAAATAGTTGTTTATGGGTGAGGTTCCATAACCTCCAACTTGAGGTGTTGAACTGCTAGAATCCTGGGAATCTCGTTGATAAGACCCTGTCTAGCGGGTTTGTTTAAAGATATTTAAGTTAAGAAAACTTAGATCTTTTAGGTGTATATATACTATAAACAAGGCTTTGACTTTTTGACACATGCCAAAGCAGACCTGAGCTCTGTCAGTGTTCACACAGTAAAAGGTTAAGAATTTCAATAGGGCGCCATAAGTCACATCCCTGACTAGAATTTTAAAATCAGTGCAACAGAAGTTTTCTGCCATTTCTGCTTCAGTCACAGTGTCAGTGAACTTTATATTGTATACTACATGATAAAGTGACCCAATTCTCCAGAGAAGAGAACATGCCATTCTCTGTGATTGCAGAACTTTTCTTTTGAGCCTTATTGTGTTTCCAATGTTTTACATGTTTGTGTGTTTTGGAGTTTGCATCATTTATTTGGCCATTTTAGCTTAGCTGTCTGCATCTGTCAACTATAAGTCACTTATGTATGAATTTTGTTTTGCATCAACAATGTTTCCATTTTCGTGTTTCCTGTCTAACATTTTATTTTTTATTTTTACAAGGATTAAATAAAATAAACTCTGAACAGTTTACATGGGTTTAGAGAGTAATTCACACCAAATGTTTATTTTTAAAGCACAGGGAGCTATTACAGCTTTATTGCATTAAAAAGGTGTAACTTTTGTTATGTTTCAGAAAAAGCAGCAGGAACTTGGGGACTTGATGGACCTTTCTTCATACCTGCTCAGGCCGATCCAAAGGATCAGCAAGTACAGTCTCCTGCTGCAAGACATGCTGGCCTTGGTCGCATCATGCAGAACAAAACAGCAGGACGCTGCTGCAAGTACACAGCATGTGTGTGGCGTGGCTGCACCGGATCTGACAAGGATTGAGAGAGACAGAGAGAAGGCCGACATCCAGGCTGCTGCAGACTTAATTCAGTTCCAGATGCGTCACGGCAACGATTTACTCACCATGGACGCCATACAGGACTGTGATGTGAGTTATGAAATAAGCAGAACATGTATACATTAACCACTAATGTTACATGACAGAAACAGAAACTTTTTTTTTCTGGTTATGTTTTCCTCCCTGTGTGTTAGGTTAACTTGAAAGAGCAGGGGCAGCTGATCCGCCAAGATGAATTCACAGTTTTCTTTCGGAAGAAAAAATGCACCCGTCGAGTCTTCCTCTTTGAACATTTGATTCTGTTCAGCAAGCCCAAGAGAACAGATATTGGAAATGATGTTTATGTCTACAAGCAGTCATTTAAGGTTTGCATTTACTTGTTTTAACACATAGCTACTGGAATCTTCAGCTCCTACTTTGCATGTGCAGCAGACTGCATTGCATTTGCAGTAAAATGCAGTTTTTATTGTTAAACCACTAAAAAAAGCAGCAATTATAAAAAATACTGAAAACAGTGAAGAAAGGAAATACATTTTCATTCTACCCTGCAGTTGTCTAGACAGGCATCCCTTTAATATTTCTGCAGTATTTTTCTATTGCATGTGTTTTGTTTGTTAGCCGTATTTACATGTTTGCAACAGCTTTTGTGTTCACAGCTCATCAGCACTTTGCTGGTCATTATTTTCTGTGACTGCACATTTTTTCTTTTGCAATTTTTCTTCTTTTCACATATTTTGCATATTTGTGTCTTGGTTTAAATTTTTGGGTTTGTAGTACATTTGGTATTTGCAGCATGTTTGCATCCCTCCAACACTGCACAAACCTCTTCAATGAACTGAAATATGTTAAGTAAAATAAGGGATGTTTGAAACATTTTTCACTTCTTTTTCTCACATAAAAAAACACTTTATTAGAATATTTTTAGAAACTCTATTCTAATCAAAACAGTTTTTGTATGTCTACCATTAGAAATAATGACATTCCTTGCATTTTCATATTCAGATGAAAATCAAGGAATGTTCCCTCTGCAAATATACAGGTGCTGGTCATAAAATTAGAATATCATGAAAAAGTAGATTGATTTCAGTAATTCCATTTAAAAAGTGAAACTTGTATATTATATTCATACATTACATACAAACTCATATATTTCAGATGTTTATTTGGTTTAATTTTGATGATTACAAATGACAACAAATGAAAATCTCAAATTCATCATATCAGAAAATTAGAATATTGTGAAAAGGTTCAAAATTGATGGCCCCTGGTGCCACACTCTAATCAGCTAATTAACTCAAACCACCTGCAAAAGCCTTTAAATGGTCTTTCAGTCTAGTTCTATAGGCTACACAATCATGGGGAAGACTGCTGACTTGACAGTTGTCCAAAAGACGACCATCGACACCTTGCACAAGGAGGGCAAGACACAAAAGGTCATCGCTAAAGAGGCTGGCTGTTCACAGAGCTCAGTGTCCAAGCACATTAATAGAGAGGCGAAGGGAAGGAAAAGATGTGGTCGAAAAAAGTGTACAAGCAAGAGAGATAACCGCACCCTGGAGAGGATTGTGAAACAAAACCCATTCAAAAATGTGGGGGAGATTCACAAAGAGTGGACTGCAGCTGGAGTGAGTGCTTCAAGAACCACCACACACAGACGTATGAAAGACATGGGTTTCTGCTGTCGCATTCCTTGTGTCAAGCCACTCTTGAACCACAGACAGCGTCAGAAGCGTCTTGCCTGGGCTAAAGAGAAACAGGACTGGACTGCTGGTGAGTGGTCCAAAGTCATGTTCTCTGATGAAAGTAAATTTTGCATTTCCTTTGGAAATCAAGGTCCCAGAGTCTGGAGGAAAAGAAGAGAGGCACTTCATCCACGTTGCTTGAAGTCCAGTGTAAAGTTTCCACAGTCAGTGATGGTTTGGGGTGCCATGTCATCTGCTGGTGTTGGTCCATTGTGTTTTCTGAGGTCCAGGGTCAACGCAGCCACATACCAGGAAGTTTTAGAGCACTTCATGCTTCCTGCAGCTGACCAACTTTTTGGAGATGCAGATTTCATTTTCCAACAGGACTTGGCACCTGCACACAGTGCCAAAGCTACCAGTACCTGGTTGAAGGACCATGGTATCCCTGTTCTTAATTGGCCAGCAAACTCTCCTGACCTTAACCCCATAGAAAATCTATGGGGTATTGTGAAGAAGAAGATGCAATACACCAGACCCAACAATTCAGAAGAGCTAAAAGCCACTATTAGAGCAACCTGGGCTATCATAACACCTGAGCAGTGCCACAGACTGATCGACTCCATGCCACGCCGCATTGCTGCAGTAATACAGGCCAAAGGAGGCCCAACTAAATACTGAGTGCTGTACATGCTCATACTTTTCATGTTCATACTTTTCAGTTGGCCAACATTTCTATAAATCCTTTGTTTTTATTGGTCTTCAGTAAAATTCTAATTTTCTGATATGATGAATTTGAGATTTTCATTTGTTGTCATTTGTAATCATCAAAATTAAACAAAATAAACATCTGAAATATATGAGTTTGTATGTAATGTATGAATATAATATACAAGTTTCACTTTTTAAATGGAATTACTGAAATCAATCTACTTTTTCATGATATTCTAATTTTATGACCAGCACCTGTATATTTTTGGCACTATAATATCACTGGTATCTAAAGGTCTGGTGGTTCATCATTTCTGTATATTTGTGTGTTTGTTGTCCAGACAAACGATATAGGAATGACCCACAACTCTGGCATGAGCAGTCTGTGCTTTGAGATCTGGTTCCGCAGGAGGAAAAATGAGGACACCTACACTCTGAAGGCCTCAAGCATTGAAGTGAAGAAAGCCTGGACCACTGATCTGGAGAGGATACTGTGGAACCAGGCTGCTCAAAGTAGAGGTATTTTCTGGAGATACTTGGATCAAAAACATATTTCAGGGTTTACTTATTAAAAAAAAAACGTTATTGATATATTATATGTGTTCTAGAGCTGCGTTTACAAGAGAGGGTGTTTATGGGAGCAGGTCGCGGTGCTTTTATGGATATTCAACCCAGCGATGGAGCTATATGTGATCGAGCCGTTGGCTGCGTCCCGCCAGGGAGAAGTAAGAGGCTCATAACACTCACAAACATTTTTCATTTGAAAATATTCTAAGCACATTTTCCCTAGATACCCTGTACAATACATCTGAGGGCGTTACAACAGCAGGTCTCACAATTCAATATGATCTTAACCAGGTTCACTTACTTTTCATTTCTACCTCGTACTGTTACTACACAGTTTGGCAGGGAAACAGGAAATCAAAGTCAATATCCAAAACTTTAAGCATCTCACAAAAAAAAATTTCGGGTTCATATATAGAGGGAATATAGAGCAATAGTAAACAAACATCTAAATGTATGATCAGAGAGGCAGGCCAGATGAACTACTGTTATTCTCTAGTAGTTGCAGAGATCCACAGCTCAGGTAGGAGAGCCTGTCGACTGGCCAAGTATTGTTCAATCATTCTGTACATCTGGATGACTGGCTTGAGCTCAGCCATAGGTGCAGTATTAGAGACTCATGTTTACAGTTTGTATTCTCAAAAGTGACTGGAGTGGTAAAGATATGTGGCTATGGATAGATTTATCTGAGTAGTATCAGCATAACATTGGATGTTTTCCCAAGTTGTCTAATTATTTAGCCAATTATTAGTATATATATATAGAGAGAGGTGTTATATTCTCATTGATGGCATTCGTCTGTGTGTTAGTCCCTGTGGCGTGTTGTTCACACAGGGGCTTAGATTATCCCCGACCTCAGTCCATTGGCTCCGGCAGCA